CATATACTTTGTGATGTCATTTATTAGCTCACGCATTTGGCCGAAGACAAGGCCTGGTTCAACGCCAAGCTCAGTTGCAACTACTTTCGGAGTTTTCCTCTGGATGCCAATTCCGCACAAAGATGGCCCTGAAACGAGTGCAATATTTAATCCGAAACGTAAATAGCAACTAAAAAGAAAAGAAATTTAAAAAATATTTAAATAATAATATCAAATATGACAACAAAACCAGGTTCCCTGACACAAACATATGAAGAATAAATTACTGATTTTACTGTTTATTTTCTGATCATGATGTATTCAACTAATTAAAAAAAAAAATAACTATTAGAATTACATTAAGTTATAATAATGATGAAGAATAAAAAAAAAAAAAAAAAAAAAAAAAAAAAAATGTAAAGAAATCCTTACTGCTTTCACTGGCTTTAGCTTAAAGTCTGGGATCTTGGAGAGGAAGTAGAGCCTTGCAACGGAGGGCAGGATGTCTGCAATCAATGGAGCCTCGCACTGGTGGTGGAGGAATTCCTCTAACCGTTGAAGATCTCCGTTGGTCATGTACAGGTCCAGTTCCGATAAACTTGGCACTGAATGGAGAGATAGTATTTACATTATACATTGAGGTTTGCAATACATTTCAAAGTACAGATCAAAAACTGGTTCTTTTTCATTTGTCAATACATGGCAAAAAATAAAAATAATATCAATACTTGAAAGGAAAAAGAGAAAAATCAACCTAATGGTGGATGGCATCTATACGAACTGAGGGTGAGCTAAAAATCTGGAAGATGCCTTTATATGCCATGCCAATGGCATTTATAGGTGTTTTAGGGCTATAATGCTACTGGTTCTTGAGCTACTGCCTTCTAAACACAGCAGAACTCCATGTCTTTTTAATATATAAACTATAAGTGGGCTCTCCAGAAGCAAAGACAACTCCTTTCTCGCTTGTCCAGGTGACCTTGAAATCATTCCCTGCACAACAGCAAGTGCACTCTTATTCCTGACACCACTGAGTTCATCATAAAATTCTCAAAAAGACCCTCAACCTACCTCCCCCTTTCCTCTTGTAAATGCTACTGCTCATGATACTGAGGGCGAATTTGCAGTCATAGCTCTTGAACGCACAGCCCAACAGAGCAACAAGCCTCTTCCTAAAGTCGAACCACAAGTCAGCCAGCCATGACTCCCCTCGTGCTTCCTTGCTCTCCCCAAGAACCTTCAGCATGATGATGGTATGTTCCCCGTGACATTGTCGACACCTGACTGCGGACGGAATAAGAGATTGCATTTCAGATAGGCACACTGACTTGCAATGACTGAAGATAATTCCTTGACTGAGTATGTGTCTGTTAATGTTTTTTATTATTGAGTAATGAGTTTCAAGGAGTCATGAGTAAAGCATAATTCTGTGGTAATTATTGTATATTAATAAAAGCACAAATACTCTTGCATAAAGTGTGAAATGTTTTTAATATTTTTTTTAGGTAATCTTGACATTTTCCAATCCAAATTGATTAAAATAATAAATTCTGCATAATCAAATACAT